TTCAGCTTAACTTGAAGAAATTATGACAGAAGTATATTACTATTGTATACTGAAATGTAATTCTCAAGTTATAATAATAATAATATTTTTTAAGGAATATCATGCAACCACGGTATTTCTTCATTATTTTATACAGTGCTGTTGTGCAGCATCTTGTTTGACAAAGAATAAAATGCAATGTTTTGTTGTAAATTAATTATTTTCATTACATTTTAAAAGACTGATTAAATTAGCTTTATTAACTCATTTAACTAGGCACCGTTTTTTGTGACAAATTTGTATTGAATCTTGAAATCCAATAAATAAAACGGAAAACAAAATTTAGGGGAAAATAAACCTGATTTTATTGGGCACTAAATTAAAAGGTAGCTCTGTGGAGTTTAATTGCAAACAAACTAATTATCGTTACATTCAATTTCAATGTCTAACAAACGTGTTGAAAGCATTTCCTGAATATCATGATAAATGTTGATATTTTGTGACATGGATTGTGATCATATTTTTGGTCGTATTGCCCAGTCCTACACTTGACTGCTGTTACAACATCAAGATCATGGGAAGACGACCGGAGCAAACGCTGCTGCCATCATGAGCACAGGCTGTTCTGGGCGCTCAGTGGCTCAAGTTAGAAGAGTTCAACCCTTCAATGTCACGATCTGCTTGCGTCCCTCCTTCAAAGTCCAAGGGATTTTTTCATCCATTTTATGATTAGAAGAAAAAATCTGTCTGCTTCCCTTACAGCAGTATTTCCCAAACTAGGTCACCTTTATTTTATATCCCTTTATACAACAGAGATTGTTTCAAGGCAGTTTCACAGTAATAAACTGTGTAAAGTTCATCAACTATAACAAGTTTAATTCAGCGATAAGCAGCTCTGTGGAAGACAATAGTGTTGTTATTCAGCTCGAGTCAGCTCAATGTTGATTCACTTCAGGTCTTAGGGTTTGTGAAGAAACTGCAAGTTGATGAAAGACTAATGATTAAACCATACTAATTTAAAATATTAAAATAAAAACAAATAAAATGACTAAAACAAGATTTTATTTGTTTAGACATCACATGACCACTGACCAACATCAGAGAACCATGAACATATGAAAGTGATGTTAAATTAAATATTAATTTACAATCTCAGAGGGACTTCAAATAAATGTTTCTGGTTAAAGTAGTTTGGCTGACAAACAAGGCTTGGGAATCTCTCCTTAAACATCTGAATAGAATTTAAAGTGCCCATTTTTCCTAGTAATGT